AGGAAACCCGTGCGGGTTCATAACAGGCACAGGAGGGTCAGGAACGGCCGGAGCGCCTCTCCTCCGTGCGGCATTTCACTCTGATGCTGGGGAGGTGGACTGAGTCCCCAGGTTATAATGGCTGTTCACAGGGTTAGTGTTAGGGCTAGGATTAGGGTGAGGGTTAGGGTTAGGGCTAGGGCTGGGGCTGGGGCTGAAAGTCAGGGTGCAGGGAAATGTGCCCCCGTGTGTGGCCATTTCTCAAGCCCTTTCCCAGCTGCTGCATAAGAATCATTTAAGAAGTTGCTCCAACTGCCCCGGGCAGCACCAGGGCACACCTCTTTATGGCTTCCCTCCATGCCCATGGGATCATCACAAGCTCCCGCCGTCTCTGGTGCTCGGCGGGAACCGGCGGTAGAGTGATTAGCAAACAGAACGTTCCTTGGAGGATGAAGGATGGTGGCGCCTACCGGGCGGGGGAACCTCCATAGGGAAATGGCCGCCATTGGCCTGGGCGGCTTCAGGCTCCGAGGACGGTCAGCACCAAGGAGCCGCACCGCACAGCGCGCACGGCCCAAGCTCCGCCCACCACCGGCCACGCCCTGGCCACGGAGGAATCCTTTTCCTGCACAGTTCCCTCCTGAGGGATGATTTCCTACTTATCGAATTAATACCTGTCAAAAACTACACCGGCACCGAGCGCTTCCGAGAGGCAGGGAAGTCGGAGCAGAAGGCAGCCATGGCGCCAGAGCCCATCCCCGAGCGTTCCTCTTCCCTGTCTGGCATGCCTCCCCGCGCCTGAAGGAGGGAGCTGGGGCCCTGAGACGATGTCGCCAGGGCCCTGTGCGCCCCCCCCCCCCCCCCCCGCGGACGCAGTGCCTGTTCCCTGAGAACGCCTCACGCCATGTGTCCTTGTTAACCCTCACCCAGGATGCTTCCCACTGGTTTATTTTTTAGAGAGAGAGTGAGAGGGGGAGAGAGAGAGAGAGAGACCAATTGTTTGCCTCCCACATGCACCCTGACTGGGGCCAGGAATCAAACCCACAGCCTTTCAGTGTGCAGGCCAACACTCTAACCACTGAGCACACAGGCGTGGGCTTGCATACACAACTTAAATATGCGTGTGTGTGTGCATATATACATGTGAGTGTGCATATATATATATGTTTTTTTTTAATTTTTATTGCACGGGCCATGATGGGGATGGAGCCCAAAACCCAGGCATGTGCCCTGACAGGGAATCCAACCATGACTTCCTGGTTCATAGGTCAACATTCAACCACTGAGCCGCACCTGCCAGGCACATGCACCATTTTTAACACTTTCATATTAATCCACAAGCAGGTGACGTTGCCCCTTAACCACTTCCTGGCTGTGCACCCCTGGTTTTGGCGACAACGAGCTCCCCGTGTTTTAGATAATTTCCCAGGATGCACTGCTCCTGGGCTAGTGTCACGGTGCGCGACACAGGCAGTTACTCTTCCACACAACACGCGTGAGCACTGCACCAGCAGCAGGGTCACCAGCAGGGGGGTCACCAGCAGGGGGTCACCAGCAGGGGGTCACCAGCAGGGGGTCACCAGCAGGGGGTCACCAGCAGGGGTAACCAGCAGCGGCACAGGCATACACACATTTGCTAATTGGAAGATGAACCGGCACCTCAGCGTCTGCTTTCGTTCTCACACTTGGCCCATTCACACACCCAGCACAGTCGTGTGCGTCCCACGAGTTGTGGCTGAGGGTGGTCATGTGGAGCGTGTCAGGGTGACTTGAGAAGCAGAGAGGAGAGGAATGCAAGAAGAAAGCTCCCTGTCCGGGGGCCCAGAAGGAAGACACGGCACTGACACGGCACTAACACGGCACCTGCTCCCACGCTCAGCGAGGGCCGCCCCCGGGCTCCAAGGCCAACGCGCCACCCTGCTCCCGCCTGCCCGGCGGAGTGCCTAGCAGCACCCGGGGTGCTACAAACAGGTCTACGGCGCCCACCATGGTGCCACCCTGCAGGCGTGGGCTGGCCCGCAGGCCCGGCTTCCGCAGGTCTGCGGTGGCTCTGGTCTCAGCCGGTGTCGCTGACAGGGGTCGATGGACCATCAATTCGGCGAGTCCCCGGAAGACGTCAAGACGACCCCCGACCTCCTGTCTCCCCAATTCCTCGATGCAAAGCTGTCCCCACGCCCTCTCGGCTCGGGGGTCAGGACACTTAACCAGAGAATCTCTAAGGGAGAGAGGGACCAGGCAAGCTCTGCCCCTCGCCGGCCTGAGCGGGCTCTGCTGCAACCAGAGGGGCCTCCTCGGGCCTCACTGTGCCCCCAACCTCGCCCCCCCATCTCACCTGCACAGAGACACGAGCCTGCCGCTCCCCCCCCCTGCCCCTCCTGGTCTCTCCTGCATGTCCCCACTGGGCGCATGGCTCCCACTGCCCTTCAAGCTCTCGGGACACGCCCCCCCCCCCCCCCCCGGACCCGGGCCCATGGAGCTGAAACAGTGAGCAGGGCGGCCACGTTCATAGGACGCTCCACGGCACCCACTTCCTGTCCACCTTCCAGAAGTCAACCCCCTCCTCCGAATCTCCCAGGGAAAGTGGCCCGACAGGAACTTCACTCCCAGCTTTTGTTTCTTGGCGGTGGGGGGAGGGTGGTGGACAAAGAAACGAGGCCCAGGACGAAGAACCAGCTCCCCGGGTGCCCAGGAGAAGAGGCAGCCGGAGGGTCAGCACCAAGGAGCGCTCGCACGGGGCCTCGGGGCAAGGCCGCGGCCACATGGGACTGGCCTGGCCTCCTGACCGACCGAGAGGGAGAGGCCTCTGTGGGTGCTGAGGGCTCAGAGGAGCCAACAGGCACCTCCACGTGGCCCTCGCTCCACGCTCCACTCCCACAGCGTTTTAAGAAGGAAGGACACATCAGACACACGGTGAGTTCCTTCCAAGAGCAGACAGGAAGGAACCTTGCCGGGAGATGTGGTGGGATGAGGACAATGGCCTGTACCTGGGACCTCGTACCTGGGACCTGCACTTGGGACCCCGAACCTGGGACCTGCACCTGGGACTCTGGGACCTGCACCCGCACCTGGACCCCTCACTCCAGCAAAAGCTCAGAAGCCCCTTAGCTCCAGGTGGCTTCTTGCAAAGGCGCAGACTCCGCTGAGCCACGTGAGTCCGCTGAAAACAGCCCCACAAGGTGGAAGCTTTTCACTGAGACCATAGAACGCCGCGGTGGGAAAGGCGCTCTGAGGCCGTGAGTGACCTTAGTATTCCGGCGGGGCCGGCAGCTGGGAAAACAGCCCAAAGAAGGTTCCCGGGCTTTCCACTGGAGCCCTGAAGGAGAATGCTGAGCCCACCGGGGCCTTGGAAATGGGCAGGGGCTGGGCTCCGAGGGTCCAGCCCGTCCACAGGGGGCTGGGCCTTGGCCGTGGCGGGCCCCTCCTCCTGCTCCTGGTGACACCCTAACGCCAGCAGAGCCTCCGGACCCAGCACCTCAGAGGGTCCCACACCAGCAGGCCTCTCCCGGGGCAGGCGGTGAGCAGAGCGGAGTGAGAGCTGTCCCTGGAGGAGCGTGGCGAAGTGCGGAAACCGTCTTTCTGTCTTTTATCCTCGCCGGCGGGTGTGCTTCCCTGCGCTTTGGGGGGGGCGGGGGGGGCGGAAACGCCCCTCGGTTGCCTCACATCCCCGCCCTCCCTGGGATGGAGCCTGCGACCCTTCGGTGCACAGACGATGCTCCAACCAACCGAGCCACACCGGCCTGGCAACAGGGACTCGGATGCCCCCCCATTTCCACGGGGCTTCCATCCGACTGGGTGGCATGCCTTCTCCGCCCGGCCCAGCGCACCCGGCCACGGCCACCAACCCCGGCAGTCTGCTTCCCAGAGGCCATCCTGCGTCTCCGCGGATGGTTCATTAAGGAAACAATCCGAGGGCCTACACCAGGGCCGTGCCGACAGGCGGACCTCACAGGTTATTCCGTCAGCAGGCCTACCGAGGCCGACAGGCCCGGAGTACGGAGACGCCTGCACAGCGCCCGCGCCCTCCCCGGGCTGGACGGTCCCGCTCCCGGCGCTCCGTCTTGAGAAGCCACAGCGGGACACACCTGGGAAGCTCAGGCGAAACCAGACAACGGCTTCAGGCAACCGCCCGCCACGGCCTGGGCCGCCTCCTCCACAGAACGGACAGCACCACCACGGGGCCGGCCGGCACCACACCCCCGTCCCCTCCACCTGCACGTGGGTTTCCAAGCGGATGAGACAGGGCTCAGGGTGAGCGTCCAGAAATGCTTTTCAAGACACGAGGGCGCCGGCGAGGCCGCGGGCACTACCCAGCCCCTAAAACACGTCCCCAAGGACGACACACTCCTGCTCCTGCACCAGCTCCAGAGAGTAACACATCCGTCTGCACAGCGTGATGCCAAGCAACACCTCGACCGCACAGGGCCCCCGCTCAGAGGTGCTGGCGGCCGGGCACTGCTGGCGGAGGCTGCAGAACAGGGACCTGCGCCTTTAAGAGCACACCCCCTCCTGCTGCCAGCCGAGGCCGATCCCACAGCCTCTAAGCTGGCTTCCTTCTGTGCCATCGGCTGCTGACGCCCCTCGTGCCCACGCTCCTCGGTCTTTGAAGGCCACCCTCCGCCGACAGGCCGGTTCCTGCAACTTCCAAACCAGCCAGGGCCTCACCCCGCAGAGCCGCCACCTGCCCGTCCCACCTGCCCTCCAGGTGTCCGTTCCCCGTCCCAGCAAATGGCCTGGAGATCCCCCGTCCCCCACGCCGGGGTGGGCACGCTTCTTCCCCGGCCACGTCCAGACCAGCGGCCACGTTCCACACATTTCCACCCGCCAGAGTCAGCCGCCCAAGATGGCCCCGATACACGTCCCCAGGACACGGGAGCCAGGCGGGTGGCGACAGCTGAGCGTGCGTCCGCGCCAGCCTCCGTGAGCACCGCCCACGGGCCCCATGGCCACGCGGCCCAGACCACGGACCCCACGAGTTGGAGAGTCGGCGCTCTCCCCAGAGAAGGAGGCGAACCCCGGCCTACCTCGATCAGGAAGTCCCCGGTCCTCAGGCCGGCCTGCCAGGCCACCCCGCCTTCGTCCACGGACTCCAGGTACTGCAGGGCCGGGAACGCCGGCGTCGGCGTGAACTCCTCGATGGGCGTATCCGCTGGGAAGGCAAGGACGGGAGCTCGTTACGGCCTGAGGGACGTGTCCACAGCGGCAGCCGCACCCGGGACCCTGCGAGGGAGGCCCCGGGACCCGTGGGGAAGGGGAGGTCCAGGCCGCCACCACGGAAGGGCTGACCTCGCCGTCCCAGGCCAGCAGCAGCTCGCCACGGAGGCGGGCGCGCTCTGGGCCGCCACACCCCGGGCCTCGGTGCCAGGAGCACGGACTGGCGAGCTCCGCGGTGCGTGTCTGTGTGCACGCCCGTCATTTCTTTAAAAGCATCGGTGACTAAACACTTTCGGTTCTAAAAATGGAAAAGCTCCCCCATAAGCACACGGAGCTGCAGAAGCACCAGCCAGCCACCTGCCGAGGCTCCGTCTGCGGAGCCCGGAGCCGGAGGCCGCCGCCGGGACCTCGCTCGGAGCTCACCGGAACCGGCGCTGCCCCGGGGTGGCTGCGGGTGCGAAACCCGTCCCAGCTGTCTCCCCGGGCACCAGGCTTCGGGCCCCATGCCGCTGCCCCGGAAATCCCAGGAAGAGGTGGCTTTCCTGGGTGTCCCGGGCGGCCAGGGTGCTGGTGGGAAGAGGGAGATGGCCCTCGCAGGGGAGGGGAGGGGTGAGCACAGACAGTGGTGGACACACACGGGCCGGCATCCTCTCTCTCCCCGGACAGACGCCGCGGGGCAGCCAGAGCCTGGCAGGTGGGGCCGGGAAGGGGGCGGGAGGCACTCCACATGCTCGCCTGCGCGGCCAGCTGTCTCCTCCGTGGGGAGCCGATGCCATTTTGTTTTCTCTCGGAAGGGAAGCCCCCACGTCAAAGGCTGGCGGTGGGGGCTCCACGTGCAATGCACCCCGGAACCCCCCACCCCAGACCCCACCACGCGGGGGCCGCGGGCTCGGGCCACGGCCGCGGGACCATGCAGCCACGTTTCCTTGGCAAAGTCACCTCAGGGGCAGGCGCCCGCGCACCGGCAGGAGCTCACTCTGCAGGGGGGCGGCCGCCAGCCGGGACCTGAGCCCCAAACCAGGGTTAAAGGGGGGAGGGCGCGGGAGGGGTGCAGGGATGCTGTGCAGGGACGGAAGCCAGTCACAGCCCGCGCCTCTGAGCAGGCGGCAGGTGAAGCCGCGGTTGTCTAGCAACCAAGTGCCCAGAAGAGGCTGCCTGGAGCGGGGGCTTGCCTTGCACGCGGGCGTGTGCACATACACACGTACACACACATGTACACACACGAACACACACATGTGCATGCGGCCCGACTGGGGCCCGCGCCTACCTTTCGCCCCGCGCAGGACAAACCCGAAGCCCTCATTGTCCTTCTTCTGCAGGACCACCGCCTTCTCCTCGATGGTGCAGTCGCTGTGGGGAGAATTCCGGGGGCAGCGACCGTTACCGGGGCCCGTCCGCACCGTGGCCGCCCCTCCGCCGGGGACGCTCATCATCGCGGCCAGCGCGCCCGGCGCGGAGGGAGCTAGGCGGCGCGGGGCGCGGGGGGCGCGCGGCGGGGGCGCGGGCGGCCGGGGGAGGCGGGCGCGGCGGGCCGGGGCGGGGCGGGGGGGCCGGGCGCAGGCGGCGCGGGAGCCCGCATGGTGGGGAGGCGCCGGCCCGGGCGGCCGAGCGGCGGCTGCGGTCGGGGAGCGGGCGGAGCGCGGCCGCGGAGGAGCCGGAGGAGCCGCTGCGCCAGGCGCCGGCCGGGGCCAGGCGTCTCCCGCGGGCGGAGCGGCGGAGCGAAATGAGGCAGCAGTTCCCGGTCCTGGAAGCGGTTCGGTTCGAGAAGCCCGGCTCCAGCTGCTCCTGCGCGCGCCGCGGAGACGCAGACCCCCCCGCCCGGCCGGCGTTGCCCCCACAGCAGCGTCACCGCGGCCGGCGGGGGCCGGCGGAGGGCGGCGCAGGCGGGCGGGAGGCGGTCACTGGCAGCACGCGGCGCTGACGGCAGGGCTCCTCCGGGAGGCCGGTTTGGGGGCGGGGAGACGGGGGCTCCCCCTGGACGATCTAAAGCCGCCGCATTTGCGTGAAAAGGAGAGAAACCCAAAGGCGCAACTTCCATTCCGCCCGAGGCTCCGCGTCCGCAGGAAGGGCGCCTGCCGTCCCCCTCCCCCGGGCTCCAGGCAGGGGCAGGACCTTGGCTCCCGGGCCTCCCAGCCTGCGGGGCTTCTGCCCCCTCCGCACTAAGTCGGGGGCAGGGCGGATGGAGAGGGCTCTGAGGTTTCTCTAGGCCCTGGGGGGCAAGGGTGGGAGGACTGGGTGCGAGGGGGAACGGGAGGCTGTCTGGGAGGGGTGGCTGAGGTCAGTGCCCGCCCTGTCTGCTGTCTGGGGAGGCCATGGCCTCCCTGCGCAACCCCCTGGGAGCAGCCCCCCTCTCCAGGAGAAGGTCAGGGGCCCCAAGGAGGTGGGCAGGCCCTTCCTAGAGCACAGGCAAGGGGGGCAGCGGGGGAAGGTGGGTGCGCAGCTGGAGAAGCACAAGTGTCCTGACCTCTGAGCCCCCCCCAATCGGAGGACTGTGCAGAGGACCCTGCCTTCTGGGGGGCCAGCAGAGGGGACACACCCCTGACCCCGGCAGGCCATGCGATCCAGGTGCCCGTCCAGGGCGGACTGAACGCCGGAGGTGCGGCTCCGTCCCCAGGCTCCGCCTGCCTCCCACCGGGGGAGTTTGGGGCGGGGAGAAGGGAGCCCCTGGCTCGGCCCCCCGCAGCTACCAGACAAGGTCTCAGACACTCAGGAGCCAGAGCCAGGGGCGCCCACAGGCAGTCACTGCTGCCCCCCACGCTGAGGAAGTGACAGCTCTCAGCTCAGTTCCCCTCACGTGACAGCAGTGAGCACACACCCAGGCCTCCGGGCTCCGTGAGGTCGGCTGGGTCGATACCCATGACGGTGCAGTGGAGTGGAGAGTCCTAGGGAGCCACCACCAACCACCCCCAGGAACCACCACCCAGGGAGTCACCCCAAAACCAGCACCAGGAACCACAGTGGCTTAGCCAGAACCCCGGAGCGGCGGGACTGAGGGCAGGAGCCTCCACCAGGCCTCTCCCTCCTCCACAGCCCCCACCAGGCCTCTCCCTCCTCCACAGCCCCCTCCAGGCCTCTCCCTCCTCCACAGCCCCCACCAGGCCTCTCCCTCCTCCTCAGCCTCCACCAGGCCTCTCCCTCCTCCTCAGCCTCCACCAGGCCTCTCCCTCCTCCACAGCCCCCTCCAGGCCTCTCCCTCCTCCACAGCCTCCACCAGGCCTCTCCCTCCTCCACAGCCTCCACCAGGCCTCTCCCTCCTCCTCAGCCTCCACCAGGCCTCTCCCTCCTCCACAGCCCCCTCCAGGCCTCTCCCTCCTCCACAGCCTCCACCAGGCCTCTCCCTCCTCCACAGCCTCCACCAGGCATAGACATAGATGTCCCCCCTCCCCTCCCCCCCGTGAGCTCCTCAAGGGAAGACCCTGGCCCCGGCTCAGGCTCACTCCGTGCTGGGCAGTGCAGACCACCCCTTCTCCAGGGAAGGGCTCTTCCAGCCCCCCCGCCCTCAGGCAGCCCCGCAGCCACACAGCCCCGCCTTCCACTCCTAACGCTGCGGGAGCAGCCACAGCAAACAGCCCACCCCGGCCCAGGCTGCCGGCTCGGAGGCACCGTGCCCTGTCCTCCTGCCCACTGACCGCAGGGGCAGGGTTCTGCCTGTGGGCACGGATGGCGTCGGTGCAAACCCGTCCTATTCTGGCCCGGGGGCCCGTTCCCCCCTGACCCTCCCTAGCGACCCTTTCCCGCCCCAGTGGATGCCACTCGTGTCCCGGCCACAGTCCCTTCAGATGTGTGCTCTGAACAGACGGGGCGCTTGGAGGCACTCCAAGGCACCCTCGGTCGCCAGTGTCCCCAGCAGGCGCTGAGGGAGGCGATGGGGTGGGCACCCGCCCCTCGCAGCCAGAGGCCGCCCCGCAATGACAGATGCCATCAGGTCTATCAGTCACAGAACAAGTGTCTCGGCTGCGGGGCTGGGCCTGGCGGAGCCACGGGAAGCCAGGCCCGGGAGCACTCAGGCCTGAGGCTCCATCTGACCTGCCCCACACGGGAGGACCAGGGACGACAGGCAACATGGGACTGCGGGGTGGACCACACAGTGGGGCCTGGCCAGCTGCCCCTTCGGCTACATGGGTTGGGATGGGTCTGGGCCTGGGTTCTGAAGCTGCTGGGGCCAATAGCCAAGCTGCCGGGTGAGTCCGGGAATGAACAGTCCCCATTGCACACCGATAAGCATCAGGGGAGGGGAGGGTACCGGCAGTTTGGAGGGAACAGGGCCCGTCAGGCCACTAAGGAGCCGTGGGGAGTGGTGGATCGAATAGTGGCTCAAGTCTCACGCCGCACCTGCGCACGTGGCCACGCTAGGAAGTTGGGTCTCTGCAGGGGCGACCAGTTACGAGTCCATATGGGCTCACCTGGGCTTCGTGAGAGCCTGCACCGAGGACTGGCCCTGTCAGGACCCAGGGTGATCTGAGAGGCACAGCGGGGCCTTTGGAGGGCTACTCCCCGCGACACCAGGTCTCAGATATCTGACTTCCGGGCCGGGAGAGGATCTGGTTCAGAGGCTCAATGACCCCAGTGGACGGCAACTTGTGAGTTTCCCTCCTAATCCAATAGGCACACAGGTGTGCAGGCTCTGGTGCTGTGAGAGCGAGGACAGGAGGACTTCCTGGAGGGGGAGGCCCCGCGTGTGAGGAGGAATGAACGGGTGGCGGGAGGAGGGGCCGGCATGGGGGGCCAAGAGGGTCAGGGGCCGGTACACCCAGGAAAAGGTCTGGGCAGCAAGGGTCTGGCATGAGCTTCTGCCAGGCCCAGGACGGCCCTGCTCTCCCAGACTCGCTCCAGGAGGCCCAGATGATAAACCCAATAATCCTCGTCCTCCTGAGGCCTGACTCCGCCTGGGACTCGCCCACAGCCAGGCTTCCCCACAAAATGCTGCACACACGCCCCGCAGGACGCTAAGACCCTGCAGGCGGGCAGGACGGCCTAGCTCCACGGCAGGGGTCGGGGGTCAGGGGTCGGGTCAGGTGAGGCACAGACTCAGGAAGACGCTGTTCCCCGGGGGTCTGCAGGAGGGACCTGGATCGTCGTGGTGCCCTGACCCAGAGGAGGGGCCCTCCTGGGTTTGGGGGGGCTGCGGGGCCACTGCAGTGTCTTGGCCCACTGCCAGCCCTCGGCAGCCCCAGAGCTGCGTGGGGACCCACATGCATGTGCATCTGGAAACACCCCGAGGCCCCACACACAGTGAGCGCCACAGAGCCGCGCGGGGACCAGCCGCGCTCCGACGGACAGCTAGCGTGCGGGCGCTGCACAGCTGTGATGTCTGGTCACCGCAGACACACTGCTGAGGTCACCCGGCTGGGCCGCCTCACACTGAGGCATCCCTGGGTGTGAGGGCCATGGCGAGGAGCCGCGGGGCCTGGGCACCAAGATGAGTCACAGGGGTACGGCCCCAAAGGCAGGGTTCGCTGAAGCATGGGAACTCGGACAGCTCACAGAGGGACGGGGCTGTGGGCGTGTGGAAACCCCGGGAGGACCCCTGTGAGAGAGATTGGGGGTTCGTGGCCCCGAAGGCTCCTTCCTGGAGAGGGTGTGGGCCCCGCCTTGCCCGGGCAGGAACCCGAGGCGGGAAGCGGTCTCCGGCTCACGCGCTCGCTGACGCCGGCGGCAGAACTGGGGCGCTGCGGGAGAGGCGCTCCCGGACTGGCAGGCTGTCCCAGAAACTCCTTGCTCTGCCAGCCAGGACAAGCGGCCGCACAGCCGGCAGCTCCTCGGAGGGGCCTGGGCCGCAACAGGTGGGCCCGCTGGGCACAGATGCCAGGCGTGGCAGGCGGCCAGGTGCCCGCGCGGCGCCGGCGGCGGAGTGGACAGAGGGCCACTCCACAGGCCATGGGTGGGCCAGCTGTCCTTGGGGAGGTCCGGCGGCGGCTGAGAGCTGGCGGGAGCAGTCCCCACATCAGCTGCCACTCGCCGCTGCAGGGCACCTCCCAGCCTTTGGCCGCCCGCCCTCCCCCCCATCCTGCTTCCCAGTCAGTGCATGGTGCTGCCCTCTGCCCTCTGCCCTCTGCCCTCTACCCTGTCCAAGCTGGGGCTGCCGCAGCTCCTAGGGGACATGAGCCCTCTGCCTCCCACCCCGTTTTTTTTTAAATTTATTTTTCCCTGTATTGATTTTTAGAGAGAGAGGAAGGGCGAGGGAGAGAGAGAGAGAGGAACATTAATGGTGAGGGAGAATCACTGATCAGCTGCCACCTGACTGGGGAGGGAGCCCGCAAGCCGGGCCTGAGCCCTGATGGGGAATTGAACTGTGACCCCCTGGTTTATAGGTCGATGCTCACCCTGAGCCCTGCTGGCCGGTTCTGAGA